TGTCTTCTCCCAACATGCCAGCTTGGATTTTCTCTCCACATTCTCTGGTGCTTTGCACTACAGTAAACTGAGCTGCTCTGTGACACTGTCCGGCAACTCATCCCCAGGCCCTGACCTTCCACACTAGATCCTTGGTATTCAGCTGAAGAGATACACCCTGCGTAATTCGTAGGGTTTCCAGACAACACCTAATCGCAGGTTTGGCATCAGCAGAAAGTTCTGAATCAGGCTTCAGTAACCTTCTGACCAGAGGCTAAAAAGGGGAGAGGCCCCTTGCCAAGGAGGGAGGGAAACTGCAATCAATACCTGTATTAAGACCCAGACCTTAAGAGTGGGGGAGTTAGAAGAAGTCCCTGTAAAGAGGGTGAGAGTTAACAAGAGAGCACAGTACCTTTCAACCGTATGTTTTGTTTTGTACTTTAAGGTGCAGTAAAACGTATTTATACCCAATTCCTTAGTTTACAAGGAAAGCAAGTTGCCTTAAAGGTTTTAAAACTCAGCTGAGCAGCAGTTCTCCCAGCCTGGATTTTGGGGATTACATCTCATGCCACGAATAATACTTTCATTCATTTTTCCATCTACAACCTCTACCTCCAGCTGACAGAAATAGTTTGTTTTCATCTCCTTTGAAATACAGAAAGATAAAGGCCTGAAGTAGCAACTGCCTAAAATATACCCAGTTACAGAGATGTTGTGCACAGGTCTTTAGATTAAAAATCACCATAGAGATATTTGGATATAGTGTCCAATGAAGCAGTAAGAAAAACAGAGTATCTTGCAAAGGATCTTGAAGAAAATACCAAGTACTTAGATTTTATATTTATTTATTTTTAAGGAAAAATAAAGAGCTTTAGACTAACTTAGCAGTGGAGGTAGAAAATATACAAGCTATACAGCGAGTTTTGTATTCTTTCCATTTGCTTCCCATGTGCTGTGCAAGTAGCTACTTCATGAACATGCATTCACCACAGTTTATCTAAGGGAAGCCTGGCCTTGGGAGCAGCTCTTGCATTTGCTGTTCTTTAATGTAGCAGTAAGGCCTCAGGGACAACTCATAAGCACAAAGTCTATCCCCTGATAATCCTCATGCAAAATAGAGCAGCCCTCAGGGGATGCTGGCAGACAAAACAAAGAGTAGAAAAAAGCCTAAACCTGCTCTGTTTTATGCTTGCATCCAACCCAGTAACTCCTAGACTGCAGCCAGGTACATGTTTAAAGCCAGCTTAATCCTCCCTCCTTTCCAAGTATGACAAAATGCAAGTGAGGCACATCTCAACCTCCAGCCAACTGGAGAGTTAAGAGAAACAGAGATACAGAGATTTAGCTGTAGTTTACATTAGAGATTAATACATCCTTGACCAACTGGAGAAAGTACCACCAAATTAGCAAGGATAAGTGCAGAAGGGAGAGCAGAGATCTAGATGACGTGGTTATCAGCTGTTGAGAAACCTGGTATTTAAGGGCTGGGCTCTTTCAGTGACTCCTCATAACATTTTTTAATATCACCTTGGCCAATTAAAGACAGCCTCTAGTTGTTTTGTTTCACTGTTGTGTGAGGTTACCACAGTGTGTATCAGGATCACCAGGATTCACCTAAGAAACGACCGAAGTAAACACTCTTTGCACCAATATATAGCCTCTTTTTTTGGATGGCTATTTTATATAAACCCCAATTGCACAAGCACCGTTACTATTCCATTGGAGATGGGGTATCCAAAGTAGCTAACTAAATACAGATACATACAAAAGGGCTGGAATAGATCAGGGCCAACATTAAATACTTGGAACCAATGCTTTGATGGTCAGAAGCACTCAGACACCAGGGAGAAGCCAGGGAGAAACCCCTTTTGCTTTTCTCAGTTTTCAACTGACTGAAGCCATTAGATCTGAAAAGCACAAAGAGAAAACCAGAACAAAAAGCGCCTTCCTTTCACAGTTTCTCTAGTGTAACCTAAGCCAGAAAAACCTCGGATTTTCACAAGAAAGACGGCTCTACAACACACTCAGCAATGCAAACAGTTTAGCGGAGCGCAGCAAGGCAGGACACCCCGAGGGCCACCCTGAGAGCCGCCCGCGCGTGAGCCGGCGCATGCAGGGAGACAGGACCAGTCACCACACCTGCAGGCTGGGCTCGGACCCAGGGTAAACATTTGCCTTTCACAACAAAAACAAATGAAAGGCTCTGGGTTGCCCCAAATGAACGTAAATATTTTTCTCTAGAAATTCTTCTGTTTTGTTTTTTTCGTTTTTTTTTTTTTTTCTTTAAACTAACAAAGAGCAGGCAAGAAGTGAAGGGACTCGCTGAAAGCATCTTAAAGCTTTATTTGCTTTAATACTAAAGCAAGAGGCTCTAGCATCTACTTAAGTCCCATGAATATATGCATTCCTTATTGGCAGCATTAGAATGTCACTAAAGAACAGATTCACTCATCGGCCTACAAATTATACTGTCTTTGCTCACCATGTCTGTTCGTTTCCCAGAATATTTTTAAGGAGCCTTATTTAATTTTATTCTTTTTCTCCCTTCTCTCATTTATGACATTTCCGTATGCTCATGATTATTTATTTGGCATGGCATTTTGATGTAAGGGAACAGCCAAGCCCTGGATGCATACATAGCACAGAATTTCCACTTTAAGAGAGCTGGGTTCTGTAATTTATAGATGGCACAAAAAACTAACTTAAGGAGTGAATAACCTTAAACCTAGAAAAGTTGAGAGTTGTTATCTCTGTATGGCTTTTGGCAAGACAAATCAAAGTCATCTCATCAACTTCAGCTTTAGAAAACTTTTGCCTTCGGCCCTGATACCAACATTACATCTTGAACCTCTCTCTGCTACTGAACCTGAAAAAGCATCCTAGCCATATGCAGCTGGCCTGCTCGGGGACTGCAATGCCACCAGCAGTGGCATCCCACGCCTGCTCAAGGGGAGCTAGTAAACACGTAAAGTGGCTTGTCTCAGGCTTTCTGTATGAGGGCTTAGAGGTAAACATAGCTCAGTAATTTCCTCTCAGAGGCCCAGAACTTCTCGCAGACTCCACTGGACTCCTTTCATGGTTGAGCCCAAAGCTATTTGCAAATAGCAGAAGGTTTTGGTCTCCTCACTGGGTTGCAGAGCTTACCTTGTGGTTACAAGCACACCTATTATCCAGCCGAGCAGTAAACAGAGGCACACTTCCTTTCATCACACAAAGGATGATGGCAGTAACGTGGGCCGTGCCTGTCTGTCTGCCTGCTTGTCTGCCTGCCCACAGCTATGCAAACCCTAGCAGCTACAGACACCTGGAAAAGGAACTGCTGGCTGCTTCCCTCCCTGTTAATGAAGCACTTGAGCTACAGCCATTGTTTATTCAAGACCCTAATAAGAGATGACTGTGGCTATTTTCCACTTAACATCATTAGTTAAACAGAAATTGATTGCAGATGGAGAACAGCCATTGTGTTTTATTACCAGTGATTTGTTTCCTAGCATTTAGGGGCAGCTCTAGGTTGGTAGATCAGTTCACTTAAGCTGCAGACACTGCAAGGTGTGGCCACACTGTGTTTACAAGCCATTATCACAGCTCATTTTTTGGCTTTTTTCAACTTCAGGCATGTCAATAAGTCTTAAAGGCTCTGTGTGAGGGAACATGAGTACAGCTTCGTTTGTTTGTTATCAGTCAAAGATTGCTGGCATGCTTTAACTCTCTCTTAATAGAAAAACTATCCACTATAGGCAATACTTACTTGCTTTCAACAGAAGTCTTCAGCAGCTTCAAACAGCGATGAGCAAAAAGGAACCTAAATGGCTTTGATATGTTTTAAGTCTTTCAAGCGAAACACAAAGACAGCGCCAACCCACACAGTTTAATTTGGCTGGGTCTTGCTGCTCCCTCTATGCTGTACCAGACCAGATTGGTGGAACTACACCTGCAATAACTGGGATGCAAGCTTGAACTCTGTCAGGCCCATCTTTCTGCATTAACGCTGAAATGCATGCAAAATCCCACTCAAAATTTTCAGCTGGTGCCTATTAAAAATGAGACCAAGCTAATTAAAACAAGCAATGGGTGTTCTATCAAACAAATATCTTCAGAAATCTTTACTGGTTCCCAGAATGTGGTAGGAAACGATGCAAAATACCACAGCAGAAAAATCTTCTCTGGAGCTTGTCTCAGATTTTTTGACATTGGATCTCCCTGTTCCCTGACTTTTCCCCTTTGCTACTCAAAGGACAGGTGCCTCAGGTTCCCATTCTGCAAGGTACAGCATACCCTCCATTTACATGGACTTCAGCAAATAACAGCATTGGTAGGGTCTTGTAGGACCCTGATTCTCAGCAATAACTATACAGTATCTATAGAGCTATTGTGAGAAGTTACTGCCACATCTCTTTCACAGTGTGCTTTCACCATCTGACAGAGCTTCCCTACCCAGCCTGACAACTGGAATACATAGGAACCACCATATTTGAAAAAACTACTTTTCCTTCTAATTCATGTAAAACCAGCTGCGTTGCTAAGATACAAATAACTTAGCAGCTTCCCAAAAGGAGAAGCTTCTCCCTAACCTCTACCAGTTACACAGAATATCACCAAATGATAGAATATGCTGAGTTGGAAGGGACCCGTAAGGATTATTGAGTCCAATTCTTGGCCCCACACAGGACACCCCAAGAATCATATCATGTGCCTGAGAGCATTGCCCAAATGTTTCTTGAACTCTATCAGGCTTGGTGCTATCACCACTTCCCTGGGGAGCCTGTTCCTCAGGTCTGAAAATTTATAGCCCTTCCAGTGGCTTCTAACCCATGTCTACCATAAAGCCATCAAATACCTGCTGGTACCTGGATTATCACTGGGACAGATAAACTCGAACAAAGAGAATGATCAGTTGTCCTTCCAGGCTCCCCATGGTCCATGTGACCAGTTGCTGCCCAGAATCTCACCATCCTCACTCCCCATGACCATCCACAAAGCTATACTGTCATAAGGCCCAGAGACAGCAAAAGTGTACTTACCTATTTCTTTACCTTTCCCCTCCCAACAGAAAGTTTCAGGGAAAATGTTTTCGGAGTTACTGAGACCAGTTGCAAAAGGCATGCCATAGTGCCATATATAGCAGCTAATGTAGTTAATGCACAACATAGATGGTAATATTTTAAACACAAAGCTCAATATTCTGCTGACCCTCCCTAATGTTATGTTACATTTCAATCTAACATCTGACTGATGACCCAAACTCGGATCAAATTTTCAGTGGGTAAAAATTATGCAGGGCATGTTTTCTAGCAAATCTAGTTGGCTAAATACCCCCAAGTTTTCTTTCACATGGCTATCTTCTACACAGAACAATGGTGAATATCAAGTGTGACAATGGCAATTTTTTTCTCATGTGACTAATTTTATATTATTCCTCAAGAATAAGCACCATAAATAAATTCTTAATTCTCAAGACTAAAAAGTCTATCTGATGTCACAATCTACACCGTTTGGTATCATTCATGGATGTGTTAGCACTGCCTCCTGGGTGAGCTTGTACAGTGGTATGGCATTTGTTAGCTTGTTCAATAGCACTACAATCAACTTGTAAATTCAGATTTCACGAGAGACAGTTTTTGGTCTTAAGCAGCAGGACTGCTGGCAGCATTGTGTATGTTGTGTGCAATTGTGTGTGGTGTTTTGTGCAATATCATCTGCAACATTTTATTTTAGATCATGCCCCATGTCCTCCCCAAAACGTGACTAGACTCTTTAAGGGTGAGAATAGATTTTACAGTGGATGATTGCAAGCTGTAACTTCATGGGGCCTCAAAATAAAACTCCATCTGTAGAGAAAGAAAATGAATCAGCTGCAAATACAGTAAGATTAATGCATTATTCATCTGCTGGCAAGGCACACCCTGCGAAAGCGGCTAATTAAAAGGGATTTGTGGAAAGTCGCGTAGGATTACCTCCACTAAAAGCAGTGGCAAGACATTTGGGTTATCAGTGATTTTTAAAAGTTCTAATTAAGATTCTAGAAAACAGAAGTCGTACCAAAAAATTGAGTCCTTCAGCTTCATCTGCACTGGAAATATGCTCTTCACATCAGTTCTGCAAGCATTTATAGCCTTAGGAAACTTAGAAAAGCCAAGACTAGTGTTCTATTATCTCAATACTCTAAATCCTCTTCCCATAAACTGTCATGGTAATGACTTCCATTTACATCAGTGACATGGTCTGATGAGGGAAGGTAGTAAAGTTCTGCTGATTTTATCAGCTGAAGCATGTGATGCACAGGACTTGTTTCCCAGCAAATTAAACTAGCAACCAAATTAAGGAGCTGAAATGCCAGCTCTGCTTTTCTGACAGCAGCAGATATTAATTTTGCCCAAAACACATGGTGTCAAGTTTTTCAAGAGAAAACTAGAAAATCAGTTGGAGGACACTTCCTTTTCCATCTCTTGGCCATTTGAGGACACTGCTGTGCGCTTCAGAAACAGGGGGTTCGTACACCTGGTTTTACCTGCTACCAATAAAAGCTAGCTCTTCCCTTGCATGCAGGGAGGAGTTCACTTACAAAACATTTCTAGCATGATCAAAATTGCATCTAACAACACAGAGAGACAGATGTGTTTTCAGAAGTAGGCATCCTTCGGAGTGCCATCTGTAAGAGATACAGATTGTGTTGCTGAGTGGGGACCCTCCTGTGGAAACAGTTCAGGTGGTCCCTCAAGCCAGTCTCAGTCACAAGTGACAGCATCCATGCAGGAAAGCTGCGTTCCTACACTTTGGACGATCACTGGACCTCTTGCCTCAGATTCAGAGCAAAAGAAGCTGCATTGTCAGGGCCATCCCAGCCAACATTCTGGCTGAGGAGCAGTGAAGGGGTGGCACACAAGAATAAATTCAACAGCTGATCCTTACAGAAAACACACACTGTCATGATAGAGCCTCCTGCTTGGAAACTGAAGTGCCTTACATCCCTGAGCCCAAAAGGGTAGAGAATCTCCCTTACAGAAGCAGCAAGAAATAAGACAAAGAACCCTTTTCCTTTGCTTGGTAACAACCAAGAGAGATACTTCATGGTTTTGTAATGCCCTGAGAGGGCAAAAGTAGCTGCACATACAGATGTGGTTTGGTGGGATGAATGATGATGTGCGTTTATATTTTGGATTACTGAAAGATGATGACTAGAGAGGGTCATCAGCCATGAAGTTCAGATCCAGGTCTGAAACAGCTCCAAGCATTTAAAAGTACAGGGTGGCAGGCATGGGGCTTGGGTTTTGCTTTGGGTCATTGGAGAGAAAGTGGTCAGCTATAGAGTTTAGCTCTGGAATCATTCCCGAGTTTGTCTAGATTCATGGCCTTGGCTTGGACCCATTAGTGGTAACAACTGTGAGGGAAAGCACAAGGGAGGAAGAAAAGTAAAACAATGGCATAAATTCCAGTAGCTCCTGGAAGAAATACATTTGACCTTTATTATCTACTAACTTCTAATGCTGATGCTTAGCTCTGGTTTTTGCTTTTAAAATACTGTCCCTGGCAGAACGGAGTCCAAAGAGAAAATAGCCTCTGGAAAAAGTGTGAGACTCTGGGGAGACAGTTATTTACTGGCAGTTTCACAACCGCCCCTGCACTTCTAATGAAATTTCATTTGTCAAATTCAGTGAAACTTGGTGACAAGCCAAGCTTATTCTGCCTTTCTTTTAGCATAGAAACATCTTTTTGGTCTCCTGCTCCCAGGCAGTGCCTTTATTTCATTTGAGATAAAAGAGTTGCAGCTTGTAGCTAAAAAGCTGGCCTGAAGCTCTCATGGACACCATTTCTTATTTTAATATGAAAAATGAGTTAAAATTTTGAACTGCTGTTAACACCATGCATAATAAAGCATGCTCCTCCTCAACAGTACTTTAAAGGGAAATATATACAGCTTTGGCAAAAATAAAACACAACCCACAACTGGTTATGATTTTCTATGGACTGACCACTGTCTGGGATGAGGCCACCTAACAGGAGTCTGGACTCAACATCCTTCCAGCATAGGATAAAATCTGTAGCTTCTCAAGGGGGAATGGATCTTACTTCTTATTGATGTGTTTTAATATGTGAGGCATGGTTTGTCTACGTGGCTTGCGTTACATTCCAGTGGTGGGTAAAACAGCTAAGCTATTTTGTCTTCTCCTGGTTAAAATACTACTTTAAGCCGGCTGAAAGTTTTTGCATGTTAAGGTCTTAGAGCAGAGCTCTCAACAGAAACAGTCACAGGTTTTGGTTGGATTTAGGGAGAAGGAGAATTAATTAAAAAAAAAAAAAAAGAGCACAAACAAAGTGATCACACTTCACCCATTGTTCAGGGAAAAAAAAAGAAGAAAAAAAGGCAGTGATTTATTTTAGACAGCCTGAATAGCTGGAGACAGAGAGCTAAAATATGGCAAGGAAATTGCTACCCTAAACAAGTTCCCTTGAGCAATTTGTTGAGTTGGTTTTTTTCTGCCTGAGTTATGAGCCCTTGGAATGCACATACCATTGAATTGCTTGGTAATTTGCACAAACATGTCTTCCTGAGGTCCTAAAGCCACTGTATATCCCTGAGTGGAAATATTAACATGATAGAGAGAGACAGAGTCTGACTGTTTGCTAGAGTCTGGCTACCTAACCTTGTCAGTAGACATGAGACACTCTGGCTTCCCCCATGAAACACATCCATCCTGCAACTAAGACACGTGTGCTGTCATGCACACAACAGTGAACATGAGGGCCCACTTGCCCTTCACTGAAGCTTGAAACTCTGTTCTAAACTACCCAAACTCTCACAAAAGCATCATTGCTGTGGTATCAAATACCTCCTGGCTGCACATCAGGTGGTGTGACCATCTCTATAGTATGGGGTCCCTTCTTCCTGACAGAAATGTTGTTTGTGCAATGAGATATTTTCTTTTGCCAAAGATGTTTGTTTGTGTTTACATCTAAAATACAAATATAACCATAATTATAAACATAAACACACCACAGTTTGATGGGATGAGATTTGGGGGGTGGTTTTGGTGCCTAATTGCTGTGTTCTGCACAAAGCCTGTGGTTTGCAGCCTGAGAACCTCAGCCTGCAGACACTGAACCTTGTTTTCTCTTTCATTTAGCTCCAAACTGCTTATTAGGCTTTTTGTGCCTAATACACGTTAAATACTGTTCCTACATTAGTCTTGTTCACAACAACCACATGCCACAAGGCTAGACAACGAGGACTATACTGCTCTTTTATAAAGAGGGCCAATAGCCCTCTTTATATGAGAGAGAGCTCAAATCTTTCTTTGCCTGATGTGAAACAAACTGGTGCTTGACCATGGTTTCTCAAACTCCTAGGAGGCTGCCTTAACTGCTTTGTTACATGTTATCCACGAGTGGTCCTCCCATGCCCTCACTACATGGACTTACTCCACTCCGCTCCCTCACTTAAACTGGGACAGAGTAACACAGGAAGTAAGAGGATAGATCAGTAATCCAGCAAGCTGGATGCTCACCTGGAAGCTGAGCATCAAGCTGCCTTCCAACAAACACTGAGATACCCACCAAGTCCCAGCAGGAAGAAAGAGACCCAAACCTTAGGACCAGGCAGTTCTTTGTTTTCCCTAGGTAAGAGTGGGCAGACTCCCTTTGAACTCTTGCCCTAATACCCTGCCAGAGGCCAGGGGGAAGACCCACTGTGAATAGCATTCCACTCACAGCTTCCACCCTGGGCAGGTTCTGCCAGTGGCCTCTCATCTCCAGGTCTACCTCCTCCCATAGCAGCACAGTTCTTAAATGGAGGGTCTGTTCTTACCTCTTGGGATGCATCATGGGCACCCTGATTTCTAGAAGTCGTGGATTAAGTTCAGTGACTGACGCAGCTCAGCCTCCTGTATAACTGGAAATTAATCTTAGAGAACTAGGGCTGAAAGGGACCTCATGAGATCATCTACTATCACTTTCTGCCCAGAGGCAGGGTCTGATATCTGTGAGCTAACCCCAACCCGTGTTTATCTAACATGCTCTGGAAGGCATACAAGAAAGGAGAGCCCAT